GGGCAAAGGTGCAAGTGCCCCTCTTGCTCCTATGAGCAGATGCTCTTGGGGCACTGTTCAAAAGAGTTTACCTCCAGAGTCCTTTTTTTTTGCTTGCAGTGAAAGAATTGAAATGACGAATCAGATCATACAGGGGAAAAGGTAAATGATGCATAATCCACACTGATTCTTCTCATAGATGTCGATGATGTTTTGGCATTAATACTTTATCAATACAGTGAACAATGCCATCTTTAGTCACAACGTCAGGCTCTATAATGTGTGCATTATTGACCATCAGATGACCTCTTCTCTTATGCACTTTGACCATTTCGTATTCCGTATGGACGTCATAGAAGAGTCGTGACCGGAAGGAACGAGAGGACATCATGTTGTCCACTATGTGGTTCTGTACAAACTGGAAGCGTTAAAAAAAACAGCATAGAAAATACGGATTATGAAAGAAACGTAAATATAATGAAGAGTGTAATGACTACAGGTAAGAACAGATTGAACAAAAGCTGACATGTAATAAATCTAAGCGTTTAACAATTACAGAGCATTTTCTAGATCATGAAAAAAAACCTACATCTTAAAGTAAATATTTCAGTGTGCTGTACATAAAATGAAGGAATTCAAGTAGGAAACTCTAAACAAGAAAGATAAAGATAAAATGAAATATTGTACTAAAGCAAAGGAGCCTAACCAGGGGTGCAGAAGGGGCAAGTATAACACAAGTCCACAAAAGTAAACCCTGTAACAAAATTAACCTTCTTTAGTTTCATTTACTTCATCTACAACTTTCTACGTAATTCCTAGATAGATATGTATACTTATTTACCTTTTTCAGAGATTTTTCGTTTTTCATTAAAGACTCCATTTCATGGTTTCTCATTCGTTTGAAAGCCTTATTTGTTGGGGCGAAGATGGTGAAGGATATCTGCGATGGCTTTGGACCAGATAGGAACTCCGGTTCAACTTTTCGAACTCTCCGAATTGCATCAGTAAACATACTTAAAGAAAACCAGAACATGAAAACACTGACATAGCGAATAAAGTTATCTTTATTTTCTTCAGTTAAAACTGAAAAGCAACAATTTGAGACTAACTAGTTTTACATTTTACGACAGTACAAATTACAACGTTAAACATCCCTTATGTGACGTTATTTTGGTGTCTACTTGCTGACTGACTGACAGACACCACGCAACTGTATAGTGATGCCAGTGGGGAATTGAATTGTGATTGTTATTATTAAGTTTTTGTTACCTGTTTTTCATTTGGGTGTTAAGTAATTTATATATAAAAAAAAAAATAGCCAAAAAAGGCACACAGCGATATCTGTTTAACCTTGAACCCATTTGTCTCATTCAAAAATAAGGTTAACATTGATTCTGATTGGTGTCATCCAAGATTAACGACAATTTAGAAACTTATCTTTGTCATATACTATCAGCTAGTACTACCTTCCACCATATTTACAATCAGCTAGTACTACCTTTCACCATATATACTATCAACTAGTAATATCTTCTACCACATATACTGTCAACTAGTACTATCTTCTACCACATATACTATCAACTAGTACTACCTTCCACCACATTTACAATCAGCTAGTACTACCTTTCACCATATATACTATCAACTAGTACTACCTTCTACCATATTTACTATCAACTAGTTCTACCTTCCACCACATTTACTATCAACTAGTACTATCTTCCACCACATTTACTATCAACTAGTACTACCTTTCACCATATATACTATCAACTAGTTCTACCTTCTACCACATATACTATCAACTAGTACTACCTTCCACCACTATACTATCAACTAGTAATATCTTCTACCACATATACTGTCAACTAGTACTACCTTTCACCATATATACTATCAACTAGTACTACCTTCCACCACATATACTGTCAACTAGTACTACCTTTCACCATATATACTATCAACTAGTACTACCTTCCACCACATATACTGTCAACTAGTACTACCTTTCACCATATATACTATCAACTAGTACTACCTTCCACCATATATACTATCAACTAGTACTACCTTCCACCACATATACTGTCAACTAGTACTACCTTTCACCATATATACTATCAACTAGTTCTACCTTCCACCATATTTACTATCAACTAGTTCTACCTTCCACTACATTTACTATCAGCTAGTACTACCTTCCACCACATTTACTATCAACTAGTAATATATTCTACCACTATACTATCAACTAGTAATATCTTCTACCAC